CGAACGCTCCTTTGTGGCCGAGTCGGTTAAGGCGTCAGCGTAAATGACGGTTCCGTATAGGATGCAGGTTCGAATCCTGTCAAAGGACGAATATTTTTCTATGAAAATTTCTCGGACATTCAGGCCGGTAAATGTTATTTAATACTGTTTATTATAAACAGAGCATTTACTTAAATACTTGTATCTATAAAAAAGAACGTTAAGCATAAAAATGTCTTTAATAAATAAATTGTCGGACTTTGTCCATTTCTTAATATATATATATATATATATAGACAAACCTCTCATCAACGAACTAATAGGCGGGAGGGGTGGTCGATTGTCCATAGATGGGAAGGGATTATTTTTGAGTTATAAAACCACTATAGTAACTACCAGGATATAACAGTAATAAATATGGCGACAAAGATGAGGACAATAGTCCGAATAATGTAACTACCAGGAGTTATGACCATAATGTAAATACCATAAACATGTATATATGGCATAAATAAATAAACACTTTATTGTATCTATAGGCCATACCATATATATAATCGTGTTATACAGAAGTAATTTTTACTCAACTTAAAAAAAAAAAAGTCTTATTTGAAACAACAAAATTGCAAATACAGACAAACCTCTCATCAACGGACTAATGGGAGGGGGTTGGTTGATCCGTTAGAGCCGATTGTCCGTAAAGAGAAGGGATTATTTTTTAATTATAAAACTACTATAGTAACTACCAGTAGTTATGATCATAATGTAAACACTATAAACATGTATATATGGTAAAAATAAATATAATCTTAATATTGATATATTAATGAAAATAACAAAAATAATAGATTTCTCACAGTTACTTTCTCACGGATGTGCTAATGTATCGTACTTTATATACTGTACACCTGTCTTCGTTTACAATTGAAAAACCCACCACCGCCGCCAAGTGGTCACTTTGAGAACTAATACGACTCGTTCCGCTAAGCTCGCAAATTTTGAAATACATCGCTGACAATTTTGAAATGTTTTTTTTTTCCGACAGATTTTGTTCATTGCATCCGAAGTCCGTTGATGAGAGAGAGAGCGTGTCAATTTTAAGAATAAAAAATATATGTGAATAACCTTATCTCTAAACGATTTGATATAGAAACTGGGAACCTAGACAAGCATTTGTTCAATTTTCGAATGTCACACTTGTTCCCAAATACTGGAAGTTAAATTTAATTTCTACTTTGGCCCATCATGAGTTGATAATGTTTTCCTTGTAAGGTTGATTGCGAAATGGAAAACATTCCTAGTATTTTCCGGGAGAATGGTTATTCGGAGTATGTTATTAAACGTACAGTTGAGCGAATGATTAAAAGTTTTAAGTACCCACCTATGTTTGGTCCCGTTTTCTGTCCGGTGTATCTGAAATTTCCGTGGCTGAGGAGGGACAGCAAGATTCTGGCTAATAGTGTCTGCCCGTGTTAAGCCGTGATTTCCTGCCGTCATGACACGTCTTGTTTTTGGCACTGTCTTCGCGTTTTCTTCGTTTGTTAAGGACGGCCCCTCTCTACAAAATAGTTTGGTCGTTTATAAATTTACATGTCTGTGCGACGCTGACTACATACAGCGGACTAATCAGCGCCTTGAAACACGTATTGCACAACATATGCCTGCCAATATCAGACAGAGTATTAGTACCCTTAATAGGCGTCTGATGCAGATAGCGCAAGTTTTCGTGATAGGTCAACACCTCTGAGATAATCCAGATTGTGCGTATAAGTACATGGATTCGTGGTTTTCCATTTTGGGCAAAGCACGGTCGGCAAAACATCTGCCCATCTTAGAGGCAGTATACATTAAACTGTGCCGACATAAAGAGAAATTTATTCGTTCTCTTTCTTTACTGGGTGGCATGTGAGTTTATATTTTCCTTTTTAAACGCGCTGGAACTGTTTATTCTGTTTTATTTGTCCCCTCTCTTCCCCCTCCACTTTTAATATTAAATTGCATTGAAATCGTTTCTTCTCAGTTTTATCTATTATCCCGCGATTCTCATTAATATTATAATAGTCGCCAAAGATCCTTCTGATGAGGAGTTGGCCGAAAAAAGGTTACCCTTTTTAAAAGGAAAAAAATATGTTTAAATAAAATAGATTTGAATGAACCGCAACACACAAATTTATTCAGACGAACTGAAACAGAGAGATTTATGGAAGCGCTCTAGGTAGGCGTATTCATTCTTCTGATATCAATGCGACGAAAAGGAAAAAGGAACCATTGAATGAAGACGATACAAAAAGACAGCAGACGGCTTTCATATATTTGTTATCAACGTCCACCATCTTGTCTGTCTTCTTCACTTTGAATGACAGATTTTATTCTAGGGTTATCTTCACAATTTTGCGACACTTCGTGATTCTTCCGGACATTATCAACTTGAAAGGGAAAATACGGCAAAGACCCGCTTATGCGACGGTCGCTCGAATAAATAAGATAGAATAACAAACTGTTATCTATATCAGTGATTAAAACAAAGGAAAACAAAATGGATCTCTGCTCTCACGTGCGAGAAATACAAGTTTTCCTTTCTTTACTACGACGTTGATTCATTTTCTATGGATTCAAATATCATACATGTCATATATTTATATACACGAACTGTCAGAAAAAGAAATTTCAGTTCTGGAGCACACCCACACACACATATATATATATATATATATATATATATATATATATATATATATATATAATAGCTTTCCACTCGTATTCGAGGGTACCCGTCTACTAAGGCGGCTAGCCAATTCCTATTGCAGATGCTCGCTCAGGCACATTTGTGTTTGCTCAACACCCAAAGAGACCACATGTAGTTTATAATGTATCTATGCTGAGTAGACCTTAGTTACGGTTTCTGGGAGAGAGCGTGTTATCTAGCGTGATCAACAATTTGATCAAGGCCAGGACGCTCAAGCCATCAGATACGATGACTTGTGGCTTCATGCTAGCAGAGCCCCCAAGAGTTCAGTCTACCGAATTTCACTCAAGGCTTGGGCCAACTCGTGGTACGGTTTTCAAGCATTTTCCAAAGGTGCCGCACGCCGCGACTTCGATCCAGTCCGATAACATCAGGAAGTCTTCTTCCTGACAAATTGACCATGGATCCCATGCTCAGAAAGCAAACGCTCTAATCACTCGGCCACGCATATATATATATATATATATATATATATATATATATATATATATATATATATATATATATATATATATATATATATATATTTATATTTTTTTTCCTTTTTAGGCTCCACTGGATTCAGTATATTTTATTTACGTATTTTTATCGTAAATTTATTTGTTTTTTTTTTTTTTAATTTTACGTATTTCGTAATTTTAAACGTGTTCCAGTACTATCTCTTATCAATTCAAATGAGTTAAAAGTTGCCAACCATTGGTCCCTGATGATGCGTTGGCCGAAAAGGCAACCCTAGGTCCGGATATTTTTTAAAAAAAAAAATGAACATAAAATTATATTTATTTAAATCAATATATATATATATATATATATATATATATATATATATATATATATATATATATATATATATATATATATATATATATATATATATATATATATATATAACGTGTGTGTATGTGCAGAGTAAATGATGGCGGATCGGATTGAGGAATCGGAGAGGTGAGTTCGAATTCCATTCGAGGTCATTACATTCACTTACGTGCTAATACCCTTCGGAAAGGTATGAATCTATCTATACTACCCCCTCTCCACCTATGGCTAAATAGCAGGACAGACAGGTCCTATACCTTTCGGTGGTGAACGGTCTAGAAGAAGGACATCTTTGAATTCAAAGCCTGTGGAGAGCCGTTTGGGGACCTTGTGGCATAGAGTGTACCTGTTTTCTGTATTTGGCGCTTTCAAAAAGTGTGGTTTGTTCTTCACTTCACCACTAAAATCTAATGATATCTGTGGTTACTTTTACTGTTGGCTTCAAGAACTGAGCTGAAAACGACGGGAAAGACCCACACACACACACACACACACATACATACATACACACACACACACACACGTACGTATATATATATATATATATATATATGTGTGTGTGTATGTGTGAATATAAAAGGAAATTTACGACTGAAAGATTTCATAGAAGTATTAAATAGACTCGCCGTTTGGTGCTGACTTAAGCGTTCACACACACACACACATATATATATATATATATATATATATATATATATATATATATATATATATATATGATAAAATATTTTTTAAGGTGATATATTTATGCGTAAAAATGCTCAATGTCGGGGATAGAGTATATGTAAATGTAAAAGCTGTCATGTTTTGGGGCCATGCACACCATTCTCTAAGTCCAACAACCACCATATTGCCCAGAACTCGTCCCTTACGACTTTTTCCTATTTCAAGAAATTCAAATCCCACTTTAAAGGAACAAGATTTCATGACATCGAGGAAATCCAAGAGAATGCGAAGACGAAGCTGGTTGCTCTCCCCAAAAAGGAGTTCCAGGAATGCTTCTACCAATAGAAACAACACCAGATAAAGTGTGTGGTTTCAAAAGGGGAGTACTTCGAAGGAGATTAAATACTGAATTGATATGTGTTGTAGTTTTCTTTTTATAGCACCAGTCCCGATACTTTAAAGAAACAAAATCAAAACTCGTCTTCTTACATTTCTTCTCGCTTTTCTTTATTACCTTTACTGCAGAGTGGATTTATTTAGATTAATTTACTCTTTAACATTCCCACTTAATACAAAACTTGGCTCAAGATCAGTTTAGTGTTTGCTTTTATAAGAACAAAACAAATATTGAATTTTTTTTAGTCAGCACGTAGTCTTGATCCTCTAAGTTTGAACCTCCATTTTTTTTTAAGCTGGAGTCATTTATTTTATTCTTTACTTGTGCTATATCAACATATTTAGGTTTTCGTTTCTTTCTTTTCAGGTGTTGCCATTATGGGTTTTTACCATTCTCATGTTCTCCCACGGATACGAAGTTGACACAAAAGATTTGGTCAAAGGTAAGTGACTGTTAATATTTTTTAATTATCATAATCTTTTCTTTACCTCTTCCTATGGAAGATTGCGCACTAACTTACTATAGTTATCTTCAAAGAACTCAGTTTAGAATAGTCTTACTAGTTGCATGTAACACATCAGTTCAAGGCTGTTGGATTAGTCCTCTAGTTGTTGTAGTAACATCGATCCGTGGAGTGTGATCCGCTGTGATGGTCATGTTTCTAATTAATATTTTTTGTTTCAAATTAGGATGATAATTGTGAGGTTTCCCAAAAATAATATTCCCATATAGAAAAAAATTATTTTCAATTTCTCATGTTTCCACTATCTCCGCCGACGGCAGATTGCGCACAAACATAAGATAGTTCTCTCCGAAGTGCTTGTTTTTGAATGATCATACTTTTTCTTCTTGTCGCTTGTAACACATCTGTTCAAGGCTGTTGGAGTGATCCTCTGATAGCTTCAGTCACGTCGATCCGGGGGTGCTGGTCTGGTCTTCTGATTTTTTTCTGTCTGTTAATACTCTGCTTAGTTTTTTGAATGCATCTTTGGCTATTCCAATGTGTCGCACTTTCCGTCTTCTGTTAGAACACTTCCCAGATATTTAAATTTTTGTACTTGTTTGATTTTAGTATCCTCGACTTGTGATTTGCATTTTGGGTTCATCCTTTTGCTGACAGCCATACATCCTGTCTTCTTGTAGTTAATAAGTGAAGCAAGAAAAAGCAAGATGAAACATCGAGTAACCTAATTGACTTAGATCTTTTAAAGATCTGACGTAACCGCAGACTGATATGTTTTTCTTCTATACTATCGTAAAATAGGACTTTCGTTGTGTATGTAAATATATATATATATATAATATTTCAAATAATGTATCATTTGAGATGTAAATATCTGAGTAACTACATAGTCCAGGCCAGTGGTTCCCAAACATATTTTTCTCTGGGCCGCATTGTCAGAATTATTATTCGCTCACTCCTCACCAAATTTTATATGATAAAAAGGACATTTGAAAATAAAATTTAAAAAAACAGAGTGTTAAAGGGAGATAACCGCGGATTTGAAGTCAAAACATTATTATTGATAACTCTCTCCTCAAATTTGCGGACCCTAGTTACTATATTCTTAATACTTGATATAATGCAAAAATATCACAATGATAAAATCGGTAAAAAAATATTTATAACTATTTATACTGGGACTCTTGCATGAAATTACAAGTAATCCATAATAATATTGTAAATTTTAAAATCATATTTATTTTTTGGCATATGAATTTTTTTAAAACTGTTTTTAAATCGTTGATTGTCTTTCAAACATTCCGCTTCACCTCCCATCTTCCGTCGCATTTATGAAGGACACCGTCCCGATTGGCAACTACTACTCTAGGCAAACTAAACAGGCTTTATGATTTATTCATCAAAATTTGAAATGAGAAATTCAAAGGTAGATAGATTCAATGAAAGATTGCCCAAGATTTCAATATGCGCAACATCTCTTCCGATAATGGTGATCGCCCAGATCCTTTTGCCCTGCACAGACAACCTTCCTCTTTCAACTTTCTGCGCCATGTCCAAATTTGCATTTTGCAGTAGGTGCAGTTTTAGCGTATGCAAATGCACGCTTCACAATCTTCTTCGACATACTCTAACACAGAAAACACCTTAAATAAATGGGGTTTCTATACCTGAAAAGAAAACAAAAATTAAACATAGAATTTTGTGTTGTTTCAACACCTGCTGTTAAAATTTGAGAACACTTGAACGATTGATTGAATCTTTTTCTACTGCTCATCAACCCTTTGTAGGTTATTGTTGTGTAGAAAGTCTATCCTTTTATTACTGAAACATGGACTCGTCCATCTGCTAAGATTAGAACGTCTGATCATGGAACAGTGGCAAAAAGTGTGTCGCTAAGGCGTAGCGCTTTGAGTCGTACTGAATTACTGTATTCTCAGTCCATGTTCTTATGTGATTAAACCCTTTTTTCACTCAACCCTTTGTTTCCGGTGTTTTCCTTATAGTCTTACCAGCAAAGAGGGTGGAGTGACAGATCAGTCCTGTCACATAGCACCAGAGACGAAGAAAAATCGCTTCCGATACTGGTGGGTGTCCAGATCCTTTTGCCCTGCACAGACAGCCTTTCTCTTTGAACTTTCTGTGTCATATCCAAATCCGCATTGCAGTTGGTGCATTTTTAGTGAATTCTCTCACAACTGCATGCTGCACAGTTTTGTTCAACTGTGTTCGAGAATACTCTAACACACAAAATGCCTTTTCTTTTCCAGCGAATGGCGTTTTTATAGCTGAAAAGAAAAACAAACCACTAAACAGAATTTTGAGTTATTTCTACACGTTTTAAAATTTGAGATCATTTGAACGAGAATTTGTCAAGATATTAGATTACGGAATTAGTATAATTTTATTCATCAAAAAGAAGTTGGACAGTTGTTTGGGTTTTTTTTTTAAGAACACCTTTCAAAAGAACTCTCCCGAAGAAAAAAATATAACCAGAGAAAAAATACGATTAAGAAAGAAAACGGCAACATTGAAAGGGATATAAAGAAAAGCAGGATGAAAATTAAAAAGACCTTGTTCTATCTAGAATGCTAATCCAGTAGCTGAGGAAAAGGGAATTATGGCTTACAAAACCCAACAATCCATCGAGACAGCAAAATGGCGTTAGAAACCAAGAAAGGAGTACCGAACCTCTATTCAATATCTAACCTTCAATAGATACGTTCGCCTATCGCCTGATACACATTCCTTCCCAGTCTTTTGCACAGTAGTAGTCCTTTTACCACTTGTTTCTTGTTCAGGATAGGATTTTCGGTTACTTATCTTAAGGTCTTCTAATTCTCTTTCACTTACGGCTTATGGCTATATCACGTTGAAACACCGATTCCCAAACAATAACCGAAGTTATGCAACGTCAAGCTTGGTCAGTATCTATATGGGTGACTGCATGGGAATATCAGGTGTTATCAGCTTGGATGTGCGGATGGGGTAATGGATAATAGCTCGGAATTATTAATCGGAGGTCTGAGTCACAATTGCTGTTAAGTTCGTTGTATTCACTTACGTGCAAATACCTCTGGAAAAGGTGTGAATCCACCTCTTCCCCAGCTATGGGTTAATTAGTAAAGCTCGTATCACGAAATTATTATCTCCAATAGAAAAAATTCTTACCATCTAAAAATATTTTCTCGCATCAAATAACAGGCAAAAGATTGAAAGATATAGAAAACGAATCTATCAATCAAATATCTCACTCCTAGTAGTCCTTTGCATCTTAGTGGCATTCTCGCCTTGCTTGGAGTGAAATGATTATAAAAATGTTAAGGGATGTTGAACATTGAAGCGACACGCGTGGTTCTCTCGACAAATGCTGAGAATACTACGGACAGATCATGTGAACAATGAGGAAGATTTCAGGAAAACGGTAACTACAAAGAAAGTTTCGTATAATCAGAAAGAGACATTTGAAATTTCTGGAAAATATAATGAGGCAAGAGTTACTGGAGAATGTAACACTCAAAAGAACATATTGAAGGTAGGAAAAGCTGAGTGAAACATAGAGTAAACCTACTTAACGTCTTTGAGTGTATGGATGGCAAAACAAGGACAAACTGGGCATAACCTCCGAGTGAATGACCCACTCTGCATCTCTGTTCATGAGCGGAAATAGTTGGGGAGTATAATGTTTGGATGATGAGGTAGCAAAGGGACCTAGTAGTCACATCTAGATACTTGGGAACGCCCTCAATTGTAGACCCTTTCTCCTCTTGTTTCGTTGGTTCGAACCTTCCCCCCTTCGTTTCGTTGGTTCGGACCTTCTCCCATACGTTTCGTTGGTTCGGACCTTCTCTCCTTTGTTTCGTTGGTTCGGACCTTCTCTCCTTCGTTTCGTTGGTTCGGACGTTCCCCCATACGTTTCGTTGGTTCGGACCTTCTCTCCTTCATTTCGTTGGTTCGGACCTTCTCTCCTCCGTTTCGTTGGTTCGGACCTTCCCCATACGTTTCGTTGGTTCGGACCTTCCCCATACGTTTCGTTGGTTCGGACCTTCCCCATACGTTTCGTTGGTTCGGACCTTCTCTCCTTCGTTTCGTTGGTTCGGACCTTCTCTCCTCCGTTTCGTTGGTTCGGACCTTCTCTCCTCCGTTTCGTTGGTTCGGACCTTCTCTCCTCCGTTTCGTTGGTTCGGACCTTCCCCCATACGTTTTCGTTGGTTCGGATCTTCCCCCATACGTTTTCGTTGGTTCGGACCTTCCCCCATACGTTTGGTTGGTTCGGACCTTCCCCCATACGTTTGGTTGGTTCGGACCTTCCTCCATACGTTTGGTTGGTTCGGACCTTCCCCCACACGTTTCGTTGGTTCCGTCTTTGTTCCACACGTTTCGTTGGTTATCTCCTCCTTTTCCTTGAAGCGTCTCTGATATATCTTTTTCTTTCTTTCTTTCCTTGCAGTCAAAACGCAATAGTCATTATTTGTCTGAGCTAATAGCAGGGGTAACGAAAACTGAAAGTAAACATTAGTAGAATTTGCTCTTGGCCAGCCTGCATAAGATGGAGTGAAATCGGGGCAAAGTTGTTTTTGTTTTCATTATTCTTTTCTTTATCATTATATCGTTTTCTTTTTGTTTGTTTTTGTTTTTTTTATTTTTCCTCTTTTCAGAATCATAGCAGAGACAGATATTTCTTTGGAGGGTGGAAGCAAAATAATTAGAATTTAGCCTTAAGTTATCAAAGGCCGTCAGCATGGTTAGCGGAAAGAACATTTAACATTTTCAGTAACTCCTTGCTTTGATAAATTTTTTTCTTTATTGTATTTTGTTTAAATAAAACCCTGTAAAAATACTACAATTGGTACAAAATTTGGGGGAGCCAATCACCTCCAACCGGCTGCTAATTTAGAAAGCTTTTATCGAGGATTCTAAAAGCCGACCATCGTTGGTCTTTATGGTCTATATCAACCCCTCTATATATATAAAAAAATACTTATTTTACGGTAGTTTAGAGGAAATATCATATCAGTCTGGGGATCGTTAAAAGAATTAAGGAAGTCTCGTCTTGGTAATAATTTAAAACATTTCAAATATGTTCCAAAGACCAGTCACTCGGAACTGTGTCAGCAATGCTCAAGAAGAAAACTGATGTATGCGTCCATTTTAATATGGCTTCGTCATATATGCGTATCATTAAGGGCAGCATTTTGCATACGTGTTATCACGTGGTAGTTGGTATGCTACCGGAAATAAACGATTGCACATGACCACATGTGGTTATTCGATTGAAACGATAATATTATTATGAGTAGTATTACTAGTTTAAATTATTATTTAATTTTTTAAATTAAGTTTTTGAATTATTATTTAAATTATTATTAGTTTTGAATTATTATTTGTTCTTTCGGTGAATTCAAATTGTTTTGGAAACCACTTATAGTTTCTGACATACCGGAATACACAATCAACACTCTCTGTCACACGCGCACACACACACACACTCTCTCTCTCTCTCTCTTTCTCGCACTCTTTCTCTCTCTCTTTCTCGCACTCTTTCTCTCTCTTTCTCCCACTCTTTCTCTTTCTCTCTCTCTTTTTTTCACAAACATACACATTTTGTGGGAAACCACCTAATGATTATCATTTTTCACATTTCTTTTTAAATTATTAATATATTACTTCAAAGGTTATTTTTGGTTGATATCCTGGTTTGAATATATGCCCCCTTTTTTGTTGCTACATTGTTTTTACTTTGAATAGTGTATATTATGTCTACCGGCTTGCATACTTGAGACAAAGTAATTTAAAAAAAGTACTTCTCTGCATGGTTCGAACCTGTGTCTCCCTTTGTTGAAGAAACCACCATTTGATCGACTACATTTTCCTTATTAAGAATATCAGGGCGACTATTTCAAACACACACACACACACACACATATATATATATATATATTATATATATATTATATTTATTTATATATATATTATATATATATATATTATATATATGTATTATATACATTATTTATTATATATATTATATATGAGAGAGAGGGGTGGTGTGCGTTGCTCAGACCACATGAGCACCCTTTTGGCTTGAACCGACAAAATCCAAAGGAATATAGAGCGGCATTACATTTGGGATCGGCTTAGCTTCTGGGGTTACAGTAAGTTCGTCAGTGTTGGAAGTCAACCACCTTTGGGGTTCCCATCTCGGCTTACTTCTATAGCTTTTTTCGTGTTTGAATATGAGTACAAGAGAGCTTTATGTATTTAGGCAGCAATCCATCTTTTATACAAGTTTCATTAAAGACGACTAATAAGGTACTGCGATTCAGTTTTTTTTTTGTTTTTTTTTTCTGGTATTTGTATAATTTTTTCTTTCTGAACGTGAATTATGCAAAACTTATCAGAATTTTCCGTATGTCCGAGCGCTTTCGGCTATTCGTTTGCCATTGAAATAGCGGGAAGCTTGCGACGTTTCGTCTGTCGGGTGGGAGTGGATAGTCATCACCCCAAGACCGCGTCAAGTGGAGGTTGTCTGCTCCAGCCCAGATATGGCATCGATACTGAACTGATTGCCTGATAGAGCATAGCAAGAGGAATCAGGTACTTTCTGGAACTTTACTAGAAACTCGCCATTTTAGCGCTGGATCTGCTATATGTGTTCCACTTGAGGTATAATGTGTATTTTCTGATTTACGGCGCCGTGATTCGACAAAGTTTGAAAACAAATATCGTAAAAGCACCGCGGGCCATAATGATTACGTTAAAAAGTCTGAGAGACTTTGAAAAATTTTTTTTTTTTTTTTTTTTACTGTAAGGTTCACCCTGTACAAGGCCAGGGCCACTCAAGGTAGAGGGTTACGACAAGGTGTAGTTTATATGGATAGCAGGGGAAGATAGCTGTTGACTCTAGACTTGAACAGGTTAAGATTGTAGTGAGCGAGGAAATATCCTCTAGGGAGTCTGTTCCATAGAGCAGTGGTTCGCGAGAAGAAGCTGTTTGAGTGGAACTTACTTCTCACTGATGAAATACGGATGGAACGTGGGTGGTTTGCTACTATGCAAGAGGCATGGCAGGTTCTAGCCGTTAAGGTCAGACCTGGTTGAACGAGGAGATGAAGTTCGTCCGAGCACTTTCCATGGCAGTAGCGATAAAGCAGCGAGAGACTCTCCACATCTCAACTGTGAGAGAGAGGTTGGAATGTCGAAAATAATTTTTCTCACACAATGACTCGGAGACATGAAAAATTGGTTTGAGAGAATAAATGGTAGATCAGTGGCCAAGTAACAAAATTTACTTAGAGGAAAGAAGGCGTGGAAAATTCTGAAAATAAACCATGATCACCAACATCCTGAAAGGATAGAGCAAGCAACCAGACCCGAAATCAAGTCCGTTTTATAATGTTTCGCCGTCATGATGAGCTATTAGTCAGTTCCTCTCTATCGTTATTACAGATATTATCGCTATTTTTTATCTCCCTTTCGAGACGTTCTACCTCATAAACCAAGCATGATACACGGACGTTTTTTCTTAAATGAGATGAAAAAAAAATTGAATGTCTAATTTATAAGACTTACTGTTGTGGATGAAGAACCCAGCATTTTGGTTTCGAAAAAAAAAGTCTCTCTATTCTGTCAGTAATTCTATACATATGTACGTAGGTATAAATATCTGTCCGTTGGGAAAGGTTGTTCCGGAGATTGTTGGTGAGAAAGAGTTTCCGTTGTATTTTCTCACGTGTTTTCTTGATCTGTCGACTAAAGACCTGGATGGTTTGCACGTGTAAAAGCAAATTAGGATTCTAAGCTTGAACAGCACAGTGCTCCTTTCAGCTGTTGTACAAATAAGGACACACACACACAGACACGCACACAGAGTACAGTACAGTTTAAAAGTTTGAGGAGATCTCTAGAATTAACAAGGGATAAAATTGACAGATGAGAGGGGAAAATTAAAAAGAGAAATCCTACAGTCATTGAAAAAAGAATGGAATCAATTATCAAACTTGTACTTTGAGAAACTTTTGCAACAAATGCCAAAAATTAGTGCTGCAGTAATCAAGGATGAAGGACGATATTTTGACGAGAGTAAAATTGAATCATAAAATGCTTCTTTTTTGTCATAAAATTAACCAATAAAAAAAAATCATGTCTCACTTTAACCATATATAATAATGTTATCTTAAAGTACACAACTACTTTCTGAGCTAATTTAAAAAGATATTATGATTGTTCAAACTTTTGAGCTGTAGCGTGTTTATTTTATATATATATATATATATATATATATATATATATATATACTTCTCAAGATGATCTTGGATGAGATTAAAATTACTTGTGAAAATAAACAGAATGAGAAAAACTAGTTTAATAATAAAAACACTAAGAAATTGATTCTTAAATTTGAGCGGAAACACATTTCTCTCTCTATCTATAATATATATATATATATATATATATATATATATATATATATAAAGAAGTACATTATGTTTAACGTTCTTTTATAGATACAAGTATTTAAGTAAATGCTCTGTTTATAATAAACAGTAAAAATAACATTTACCGGTCTGAATGTCCGAGAAATTTTCATAGAAAATATTCGTTCTATGAAAATTTCTCGGACATTTCATACTGTTATTATAAACTTTTATTAAAACAAAGCATTTACTTAAATACTTGTATCTATAAAAAGAACGTTAAACATAAAAATGTCTTTAATAAATAAATTGTTTGACTTTTGTCCATTTCTTATATATATATATATATATATATATATGAAAAGCAACTGGACTGGTTGGTTTCCTGAGCAATTTATTTCAATTCCAAACATCCTCCATAGTTCCCCTTCAAAGTAATCTACCCTCGAATCTAATGCACCGTTCCTTCTTTCTCTGTCACGCTTCTGTGCGCTGCTGGAATGATTCTTTTTGGATGCTCCATAGTTACGGCCCTTGACAGCCTCCACCCGTTCAAAACTGGTCCCCTTGATGATCTCCTTGAGCTTAGGGGTGGAGACACACGGAGCAAATCAGGTGAATATGTATGTTGTTGCAGTACGGCGATGTTTTTCTCGGACAGGAACTGCCGGGTGCACATGGGCGTTTTGAGCAGGTGCATTATCGTGATGAATCAGCCACGATTTGTCCTGCCACAACGGTTGTCTCTTCTCGTGCACTGAACGAAGCAAAAGTTTCTTTGTGGACTTGCTGATTGATCGTCTGGCCCTGTAGCAAAAACTCATTATAGACGATGCCCACAAACAGCACACCCGATTCCGTTACTTTTATCAGAGACCCTCGTATGATAAAAAAAATATAGTTTTAAGCTATGCTATATCTATGGGTTGAAGGGCTCAATATCAGGGATATATAAATATAAAAATGAACATTGAGGTCAACAACTAGTTTCATACTTAAACGTAATCATTAGACCGTCTCTCCCTCCACACACACACACACACACACACACACACATATATATATATATATAGTAAAGGTAACAAATCCGTTGGTATATAATCTAAGTGAATCCTAGTAATATAAAATATTAAAACTGATCCACAAAAAGAGCTCAATGTATTATTACAGAGCAAATAATTAATAAATAAATAAAAAATCTAAAATTACTATAGTTTACACAGGGGTTAAGACAGACGTTCGATATTTTCCTCTGCCGAAACAGGCTATTCCCCCATATGATGCGATTTTGGATATATATATATATATATATATATATATATATATATATATATATATATATATTTATTATTATTTTATTTTTATTTACAAACGAATGAGTGTTGTAGTACATACAACTTAAATGCTATTATCGATTTTTAATCGTCGGTTTATATTTGACTTTCTCTCTCGACAGCCTCCGCTTAACGATTTGAGACGAGTAAATGACACTCACCATGCAGTGTTGCTTTCTACACTATTGAACACAATCCCACCTCCGTTACTGAACACGCTTCTCTTCTTTATATCACCACTTTGAAATATTACATTCTTTATATGATATATTGCCTGGCTGTTTTTTTTGTTTTTTTTTCCAAGTTTGACTGTTTACAAGGATAGCCAGCTCATGTCTTTTGCAGACACCTGCTCGGGCACATTTGTGATTTCTCTACACCCACGAAGACATGCTGCAACTATTTTCAGCGGACTTTAGTTACAGATTCTGAGAGATAATAATGTGAACATGGTCAATAGAAAACCTCGCGCTTGCGATAACTTGTCACTTCGTGTCAGCACAACCATCAACGGCTTAATTAATGCGACAATTTCTTTTTATAGTTTTAAACGCTATTTTTAGCGGATACTCTTATTTGAGTAGACGCTCTGTCTATTTATTAAACAGTAGCGGCCTGAATATTTGATGCCACTCCAACAGATTAAATTCTAATTAATTTCGAGATTAAATAAAGGGTTCATTTCGAAATTCCCTGAAGGTTACTTAGATCGATATACACCTGAAGAAGGCCGAAACGTTTAAACATAGACAACAAAGATGAGGACAATTGCCCGAATATAAATAGTGTAAGTAATAACTCCTTATCCCAGAAATTCATACTGTGGTATATTGTTGTTTTTAGTGGAATCTTCAGCGGAAATACAGCCCTTCTTCGTAAGCGCTTGAGTGAAAGCAATATGTTCTCTTTCGGTACTCCATTTTCGATGTCAATTAGATGAAGTTCATCAACCCCCTGACTGTGACGTTTTCACCACCGTTTTTGAAACTAAATCCTTTTCCTGGTACGCTTTGCCATGATGACGCCTAACTTGTTGGATGATATAAAAGCCCAATGGGTTGATTTTTTTTGTTGTTTTGTTTCATCTGACCACAAGCCGCTTCCTCCAAAACGTTGTAATTTTATCCTCCTTCCATTACGTAAACTTTCAAATTAGCTCCTTTTTTATCTCGATTTCAATAACAGTTTCCTATGAAATGGTCGGTCATGTGATCCGGTTTTTTCCTCGTACGTTTGATTGTTGTTGTCATAGAAATATTCCAGCCACACACTTCTCTGCTCTCATTAGTAACATCCGCAGTAGACTTTTCTCGGGTCTTCATCAGCCAATCTCTTTGCTAGAACAAATAAACCTGAGTTTCATAGTCAACCCTATACATCACTCGTATTTTAACTTTTCATATGTAATTTTTCTTTTGTTTATCATTTCACCCCATGAAAGACAGTAAAGTCACTAAGACACAAGGTGTTACTGAGTGTGAGAAAATAGAAAACAAACGCTAAAGTTTGAGAACAATAGAAAAGTAATCAGGAAGGTTGTAGATAACGATTGAGGTTGCATTAAATCTTTTGAAGCTCACACTTGACTGGAAAGCGAAAAAGCAAAAGCGTCCTGGGTAAGACGATAAACTACATCCGACAGCAAGGTCTCTGATCTAGGGTTTTGAGGAGCGACGAACCACCTTGTAATTGCTGGTGTTCCCAGGTCCAACCTGATCTGAAGTGGTAGCACCTGTTAGGGTCCCAGCTTTGGGCAAAGAGTTAACCTCCAAACTGGGGTCAAAACGTGGAAAAATAGGTTTTAATACCATCAATACATTTTTGTAAAAAATATTACCAGAAATAAATTTTTGAAGAAAATATTACTAGCAATAGTTTTGGGGAAAATATTACCAGAAATACTTTTTGAAAAAAATATTCCAATCAATAAAAATCTAGTCGGCATTAAATTATCCATTGAGTTTGATATACCGTAAAACAAACCAAGCCGAAAGAATGGGCATAATTTTCTCTCTCCTACCCTCGAAGTGAGAAGTGGGAGAAAAAACTGCTAGCATAAAACTTATGGTTACATTTATTCAGCTTATCTCTAAATTGGTGAGGCCTCATCGCCAGTCTCGCATTGAATTTATAAAACCTAGGTGCCATAGTGAAGAGCTCTTTCGGACATTTAGCATGAAAATATTTATAGAAAAGGATCAAGGAAGCAACTTTACGTTTTTTTCTTTGGATTTTATCAAGAATCTCTAAATATATAGCAGAATAAACGGTCCATATGTGGTAGCAATATTCAAAGCATGGACGAATAATAAACTTATAGATATGTAAGATAGATTCTGGGGAGAAAAAGTGTCTAGTACGACAGCGTGAACCAACTTTCTTAGCAGCAGACCTAGCAATGAATTCAATATAGTCTTTCTACTTCATGTCAACCGTGAATATTAACCCTAGAAGGTGCAACGATTCACTCTCCTGGAGGTTAGCATCAGCCATGCTGATGGGGGGTAGACTGCGCTCTCTCAGACTCTTTGTTCAAATTCACTTTTGTAGTCGTTTTCGTAGGTAACAGTCAAAGCAGTACCTACAGACAATGGCGAAACCAGCTATCTTCATGCTTTTCCCTCGCTTCAAATTCATTGTATAACCAAACAATCTTCATATAAAAATTGAATGAAAATAAAATTCTGTTTTTTCTCTTTCACGACGTGAAGTTTATTTGACGATGCTGCGCACGGAACCGGCTTTCGTAGCTTTTGGTTAAAATATTAACATCTATGCAAATTACCTCTACCGTGTCTGTCAAGACGCCCGTAGGCGGCGCTGTTTCAGGACTATAAAAGAATGGGAATAATTTTCTCTCTCCCACCCTCGAAATGTAGCAATGTTAATAAGTCTTGTTTCTGCTGGAGTGTTATTTGTTTCTTTCCCTTGAGCGGCTACCTACTAAAGTAACGCACGCACGCACGCACACACACACACTTATAACAGTGAAGCCTTAAATGTTTTTTTTCTTTCATTTCACCTATCTTTGCGTACACGAGTATATTTTCTTTTTTTCTCGTGTCGTTCTTTATATAAAAGAAAAATATATGTTAAATTACTCCCTGTTGAATTTTACTAATTCTGAAAAAGTTGAATTTAGTTTCTTCGAAATGTTTGGAGAAAATGGTTAGATCTGTGGGGACTATCTCCACCTGGCCTGCCAAGATGCCTGCTAGGGTGGTGCTGTTTCAGGACTATAAAAGAATGGACTAAACCTTCTCTTTTTTTTTTTTTGCTCCGAAATGCGATAGTGTTACCATGGGTCTTGTCTCTGCCGGGGAAAATTTTCTAACCCTAGGGCGCCTACGTACAAGACTTCTCTCTCTCTCTCACTTTCTCTCTCTCTCTCTCTCTCTCTCTCACTTTCTCTCTCTCTCTCACACTTTCTCTCCTTCTCTCACTCACTCTCACACCCTCACTGGAAACCTTTAAATGTTTTTCTTCCTATTCACCTATCTGTGTACACACTAGTTTTTCTTTCTTCTCATATCGCTGTTATGTATATAAAAGTATACATGTTAAATTTCTCCGTTTTAAAATATCTTCTTTCTGAAAATGATGAATTCAATTTCTTCCAAAGTTCTCAACCTTTTTCCGATACAAACTTGTATAATTGTGCATTACTTTTACAAGTGGTGACAAACGACGCATTATCTTCTCTACACCACATGTTCACCGCTCGATGGTTCACAAGATGCAGTAAACGTGCTATTTTGAGTCTTATTTTAATGTGGGGAATAAGTTTTTCAAGACAATATTTTAATTCTCAATTTCTGTTCTTCAAACACTTTGAATCGGCAGGTCACACTCCATGACTCAAAATAGACAGTATGTAGTCTCCCGCGAAGACAATCAAAATCGAACATGGGAGCTTATAAGTAGAAGAAAACCTTTCTTTCTCTCTTTTGTTTTTTTTGTGTTTTTTTTTCGTCTTTATGACATTGGTTACGAGACCCTGCTCTTTTCTCGTCGGTTGGTTGTTGTAGATAGACGCAATGTGTTAGTGTCTTCGAAAATGAGTCTCCCGCAATCCGCTCAAATTTAATCGCCCTGAAATAGACTCACACAATTGTAAATTTCAAATACGGACATTTTATATTCTAACTACTCGTTTATATTTCTTATTTCTCCATTATAAATTGTTTTCTGTGTATGTCACACTAAATGGTTCATTCTTATTTACTGGTACTACTGTATGGTATGCCTTTCTATATATCTCTCGGTAGAATAATTGGCCATGATTAAGTGTAATTTGCAAAGATGCCCAACAAACAGAATCGACATTATTTCCAATAAACAATAACAAAAGAAAAAAAGAAAAGGGTAAGATAATACTAAGCAGATATATATATATATATATATATATATATATATATATATATCAGATAATACTAAGCAAAACAACAGTAATCGAGCAAAAATGTCACAATAAGAATGGTATTAACAGGCAAAAATATACAGTTAAATGGTTTTAGCGTTCTGACTTCAAGGCAAGAAAGAACAAAAATATGGTGGATAAAACCGAGAATGGTCTATTTTATTGAATTGGAAGATATCCCAGCAGACATATGTACGATTTGACTATACATTTGGGGAGGAGATGTTTTTAGTGATCATTCTCTTACAGATTGAAATCAACACCTCAATCAAACGGATGAGAGCACTCGTTTCCCTTCTCTCTTTTCTCCTCTGTGGGGTCAATAAATATATACAAGATACATACAAATATTTACAATTATTTTTGCATTTTTTTTATTTCTCAAAAAACTTATTTATATTTTACGTTTTTCACAATTTTTTTTAAATAGTTTTAGTTTTTTCTGCTTTTTACGACTACTGAGATTAATGGGAGTGGCCGAGAATAACATCACTCGTTATTCCCATGCCGCCTAAACATGTCCTTGTGTGTTTAGGGAGTTTTTTAAAAATTGTTTCACCTCAAGCAAGGCAATAAAGCCATTAAGATGCAAACTGTACTGAGGGTTAAAGAATAGGATTTTAAACAAAAACACTAGCAGAGAGGGCAATAAAAGAACAGAAATTAACATTGAATTTAAATTTTTGAAGATCGAAGTTCACTGGGAAGAGATTTTCTCAAGCGACAGAAGAAAATGTTAGCATAGAACCTACGGTTAGATGTATCTATTTTTAGTTTAAAATGATGGGCTCCTACCTCTAATCTAGTGCTGCGCTTTAAGTCATGAAATCCAGATAATATAGCGGAAAGTTCATCAGAACATTTACTGAGAATGTATTTATAGAAAAGGCACAGCTATGCTGTTTCGACGGTGGAAATGTAACTGAAACCGAGATGCCAGGTAATGACCAATAACATTGCAGATTCTTTGGATTTTTATTAAGAATCTCTAACTATATAGCAGGAACAGTAGGACAGATGTGGCAGTAATATTCGATGCATGGACGAATAGTATTGATATGTAAGGGGTGATATGTAAGATTGATTCTGAAGGGAAAAATTGTCTCGCACGGCACAGTGAACTTTCTTGGCAGCAAGCGTAGCAAATGATTCAAAATTTCCACTTTCCACTCCATATCAACGGAAAACGTTAGCCCGAGAAAGTCATGAAAGTTAGCATCAGATCTCTCTCTCTCTCTCTCTCATTCCCTTTCTCTCTTATCCCTCGCATTCCCTTTCTCTCTCCTCTCTCTGTCTTATCTTTCTCTCTCCTCTCTCTGTCTCATCTTTCTCTCTCTGTCTCATCTTTCTCTCTACTCTCTCTCTGTCTCATCTTTCTCTCTCTGTCTCATCTTTCTCTCTCTGTCTCGTCTTTCTCTCCCTGTCTCGTCTTTCTCTCTCCTCTTTCTGTATCATCTTTCTCTCTCTGTATCATCTTTCTCTCCCTGTCTCGTCTTTCTCTCTCCTCTCCCTGTCTCGTCTTTCTCTCTCCTCTCCCTGTCTCATCTTTTTCTCTCTGTCTCATCTTTCTCTCTCTCTGTCTCGTCTTTCTCTCTCTGTCTCGTCTTTCTCTCCCTGTCTCGTCTTTCTCTCTCTTCTCCCTGTCTCGTCTTTCTCTCTCTTCTCCCTGTCTCGTCTTTCTCTCTTCTCTCTCTGTCTCATCTATCTCTCTACTCTCTCTGTCTCATCTTACTCTCTTAATGAGTTCTTTGCCGAGAAACCACCAAAATTCTCGGGAAATTGAATCTTTAAGTTAAAGGAAAAATGGAGAAAGATTGTTCAACAAAATGGTTCATATTTAGTTGAATATATAATGGCATAATTTTGTTTCATGTTTTAATTTCCCTTAAAAATTCGGATGGACTTTACGGCTCATGCAAACACATACACGCATATTTTATATACATACATACATATATATATATATATAATTAAAAAGGCAGTCTGATGAGATGGATATTCATGCTTATATTCATCGAAATAAATTTATTACTGACGATAGATTTTTAAGATATTTTCCTAAATATTCTTATAATTTTTCTGAATCATACATAGAACTCTCATGAGAGTTCCACACCATCACATTTGGTTTTTAAGATATTTAGGATAATATATAAATATATATATATATATAAAAAAAATTTATTTATTGAATATTCAGTCCATATCCATTCAATGTCAGACTGCCTTTTTGATTATATATATATATATATATATATATATAAGAGAATTAATACAAGTAAAAGGTTTGTCACTTAGATGATTGATTTTTGTATACATATCCTGACTACAGATTTTCGTAGACAGACCCCTCTGGGAATCACTCCGTCGACTTGTTGTTAGGGGAGAGAGTGATCAGCAATTGATTGTTTATTTCTCGATTTTTCGTTTTTATGGGCACTTTTGAGCGGTTTCATTGTGTATGTATGCGTATGTGTAGAATGTCATGATTATTTCTTCTTTTCGTTTTTTTTTTTTGTTTGTTTTACTTTTTTACTCTTTTTTTCCTCCGGTTTCAGCGATGTGTGTGTGTGTGTGTGTGTGTGTGCGCGCGATGGATAAATTGTCGCTCAAATTACGCAAAATTGAAAATAACATTAACAGGATTATGGCAGTAATCACCAACTTAAACAAGGAGATCGTCCAGAAGAGTTGCCGAAGATTCCGAAGTCGTCTGGAGGTCGAAGTTGAAGCCAATGGCGATTTTATTGAATAAATTTACTCTTTATTATTTCAAGATGTTTTTGTGTAATTCTGGTAAATATATCTATTAAAATGAGATGTCAACATTACTTTTACGTAACTTAGACGACAATTTCTTCATCGCACCTTTATATATATATATATATATATATATATATATATATATAGCTTATATATATATATATATATATATATAAAAACTGAGGGAAAATAGAAAAGAAAAAAAAACAATAAGTAGTGAATTTAAAGTGGAAAAAACTACGAAACGGTCAAGATATTTTTTAAGATATTTTTGTGTAATTATGGTAAATACATCTGTTAAAATGTTATTTTCAATTTGGCGTAATTCAGGCGATAATTTATCCATCGCACCCTGTATATAGATATGAAGATTGAAATTATTAATTTTTTAATTTTTTTTTTTTTAAGCTTTTCACCCCAAGCAAGGCGGGAGTGCCACTAGCATGCAAGGGCTTATAGAGAGTGGGTGCAAGAGTAAAGAGGCGTGAAAGATGAAAGGATGAAGAGAAGGACGCGGAATAGATCAAGGCAATGTCTATTGACATTGCATTTCAGTAGTTGGAGAAGCAAGTAAGAGGAAGTGAGTTCCACAGACGGGAAGTGCGAGACATGAATAAATAGACATATAGTTATAAGGAAATTGAGATAGATCGAGAGGAAGATAGATATAGAGATTTTGTAAGCGTCGCTTAGATGTGGCACCAAGCCGAAAGTATGGGACTCCCTCTGAGGATCGAACTCATTAATCAGTCGTAATTATTCTAGCGGGACAAGATTGATAACCATTAAACAGCGTTACAAACTAAAATAGTCTGTGAAATGCATCGACATCTTAATAAATACTCACACATTGTAACGAACGGAGGAAGAGGCTATTTTTTACTAACAGTTATGTTGAGAAAGGATGCCGGCGATATGACACGCATTTCCAAAGACAGACAAATGCCCCCAAAAGCCAAAAAAAAAAAAAACTCAACAGACTGAACACATTTTGCCAGTGCTATTGAGGAAGGGATTTTTGCGTTTTGCCGTCAGTTTTATAACCGGATTTTCTTGCAGGTGCCACTTTTTGGCATTGACTTGACAGATAACGATTCTATATATCTCCAAGATAGGCCTGTTTCCGCTTGTTGGCAATGAGTGAAAGTGTATTTTAGTAGTTTTATGCGCGAGCACGAATTTTGAGTAGATGCATTTCTCTTTATTTGTGTATATATATATATATATATATATATATATATATATATATATATATATATATATATATATTCCATCATATTGCCCGGCACAAATAAAATACATTGAGCTGTCTTTTTATGGATCAATTTTAATATTTTTATAATATTAGAACGCACTTAGATTATACACCCACGAAATTTATTTTACCTTTACACTCTCTCTCTCTCTCTCTCTATCTATCTATCTATCTATATATATATATATATATATATATATATATATACAAGTCTTTTTGTGTGTACAAGTTAGATTTTCTGTATTTGTTACTGCTTCTCTATGGGAACGTCAGCATTTCTATTTATGTGTGTAGGTGTGTTTCAGAGTGAATTTCTGTATCTCTCTCTCTCGTGTACGTGGGAGAAGACGCCCGTTCTTTTCTGGTTTTGATGGTCAAATATAATGTCCTTTCTTTATTATTATTTTCATCTCGTTTTCTTTTTCCTTACTTCAACCCCCAACTCTTTCTCACAGAATTTTGCATGTTCACACGCATTTACACGAAACAATTTTCGACCGTTCATAACTTGAAACCAATAATAACTAACCGAAGGCTAGTGGCCGAGGATCCATCCTCCAGATAGCACCTCCCCATTGCCCTGAGTGAGTTCGCAGGCACGCTTTCATACCGGTAGCACTAACCGAGTGAACTGGGAACCTTCAAGCTAGCCCACCATAAAATTTGAGCTTAGGTCGATTCAGTTTACCAACATAAAAATATTGAAACACGACTCTGTCACATTCGGCTATTCTATTCATCCGAAAAAATCTGGTGAATTCAGTCGTCATAGAAGCGGGTCGTCCGTCTAAAGATTTAACAAGCAAGGACTTTATTGACACTTGTAAGCGACTGTTAATTATATCAACAAGGATTTGGATATTTTTATGTGTATGATTAATGATCATGAAAGTTCTTAGGGATGTGGGTAATCATGGTTCTCCACAATTTCTTTTCGTTTGTAATAAAGTTCGTCCCTTTGCCATCTCTCCTTACCCCTGTTCTGCCAACCATTTACACAAGCGCGTTAGATAGGTTACTCGCTGCTCACTCTTGAAACACTTGTCTTCAGTATGTCCTGTGAGTGTCAAATTCACCAAGCCCTCTTTCCATATTATACACTCTAGAAATTTCAACTGTTTCTTTAAGTGTCCTTTTTGTTTTCATGATGGAACTTGGAAATAAAAAAAAATAGTTTATGTATGACAATCCTCTTCTCAGTCCTCCCCAAGTCTCGGACCTTCCACAAATTCTCAGAAATTCGCCTTAATACTTTCCCGTGTTTAATAAGTCGGCGGGAAGGTCGAATTGCTAGTGGATAGATTCAAAATTTCTTACGGTTTTTTAGTTTGGTGGGGGAGAGAATCAAAAATTGAGTAAGATCGATATAAATTATAAATACCAAGTGGATATAGTTGTTAAAAAATCGAAACACTGGGAAGTTTATACTCCGACACTGTTTTATTAGGTATGGTTGAATAGGGCAACTAGCTTAGAAGGAAAAATCAGAATTCAAAACCTTTGAAAAACCTTACTATTCCAGGTTTGCCCATGATGTGTTCAGAGCTTTTTCATTCTGATTTTTCCTTCTCCTAAGCTGGTTGCATTACTCCGCCGTGTCTAATAATTCGGAAAAAGTAAACATCCATCTTTTTTTCTTTCACTCTTTTTCTTTCTCTTCCTTTCTCGTTATCTTTTTCTTTCTTTCTCAGTTTTTCTTTCTTTTTCTCCGTTTTTCTTTCTTTTTCTCCGTTTTTCTTTCTTTTTCTCTGTTTTTCTTTCTTTTTTCCCGTTCTCTTTCTTTCTCTCCGTTTTTCTTTTTCTCCGTTTTTCTTTCTCTTTCTCCGTTTTTTTTCTCTTTCTCCGTTTTTCAACATTTTCCGTTTTTCTCTTTTCTCCGTTTTTCTCTTTTCTCCGTTTTTCAACTTTCTCCGTTTTTCAACTTTCTCCGTTTTTCAACTTTCTCCGTTTTTCTCCGTTTTTCTCCGTTTTTCTCTTTCTCCGTTTTTCTCCGTTTTTCTCTTTCTCCGTTTTTCTCCGTTTTTCTCTTTCTCCGTTTTTCTCCGTTTTTCTCTTTCTCCGTTTTTTCCCGTTTTTCTTTTTCCGTTTTTCTCTTTTCTCTCTCTCGTTTTTTCTTTTTTTTCTCTCTCTCTTCGTTTTTTCTTTTTCTCTCTCTTTCGTTTTTCTTTTTTTTCTCTCTCTCTTCGTTTTTCTCTTTTTTTCTCTCTCTCTTCGTTTTTCTCTTTTTTTCTCTCTCTCTCTCCGTTTTTCTCTTTTTTTCTCTCTCTCGCCGTTTTTCTCTTTTTTTCTCTCTCTCTCTCTCGCCGTTTTTCTCTTTTCTTTTCTCTCTCTCTCTCTCCGTTTTTCTCTTTTTTTCTCTCTCTCTCTCGCCGTTTTTCTCTTTTTTTCTCTCTCTCTCTCCGTTTTTCTCTCTCTTTCTTTCTCTTTCTTTCTCGATTTTCTAAAAAAAAACACATTCACTTATTGCAATCCCATCAACTAAGTTTTTATACTTTATGTCGACCTCCTCGCCAAATGTTGCTAGCAATCTATTTTGATTCGCTCCCCGTAAACTAAGAAATCGTAAGAAATTTCGAACCCACCCACTAGCAAATCGACCTCCCCACCGACTTATTAAATCTAATTTAAGTATTAAGACTAATGTTCCATTATGTATCGACTCTGGTTTCAGTTCTTCAAACCCAACGCAACATCATAGACTACATAAACGTCGAACAAGGTTCTTTTTTTATCTTTTATGAGTAATAGTAGTAGTAGTAGTAGTAGTCTCAGCATCGTTTCTAGGAGGGAGGGAGGTGGAGATGATCGAGAGGACGCATGTCAACCGGTTGCCTAAAATCTCATCGCCAAATGCTGGCTTGCTTAACTAAGGAATACGAGGGTGGCGAGGCATATTGACACTTCTAATTCTTACAGCCGTCTCTATGTCTTCGTACTTTCCCCCTCCTGATATCAAAACTTAAACAAAGACAATCCAGCACTGTCAGAATGTTACGCCAACAGATTTCAAACCACCTCAACTCAGTTCTAACCAGTAGTTTGTCATTCTGGGCCAACCTATGTATTATGTAACCCTGAAAGAGCCCACTCTGCCTTACTATTTTACCCATGGCTAGAAGTAAGGGAGGAAAAATGAATGCCTTTCTTTCTCATAAGCGAAGTAAGCGTAATAAATTCAGTCAAAATTTGAACTTGACTGGGCGTTTCTATTTTATGTACCAATAATAATTACGCCACCTGCACATCTTTGGGAAACAACATTAGGAGCGAGGAAAAAACAAACAATTCTCTGTACAACAATAACTAATTTTTCAACCAGTCTCGTGGCTCAGGTCGACGAGCGTTTTCCACCGGCGCCAATGATCAGTGTTCGAGATGAGGTAAAACCGACAAGAAAATTACGGTTTAAAATGCTGATTTTAAAGGCAGACACGCAACTCACTGCTATATTTCACCTTACGCTATAAGAAGATGAGATTTAAAAAAAGTTTCTTTTTGTTTATAGTAGTGTGGAAATCTTGATTTTTTTTTTTTTTTTGATTTTTTTTAGTTACTTTCCCATTCTGTTTACATGTGCTATCCATTTTTGTTGTTGCGTCTGTTGGGAGTATTCAAGGTATATAGTTTTTATTATTTGGTAAGGTTATGTTTTGGATTCTGTAGCGTTAGCCTGTAAGATCTGATGAAGGGTTGCCTTTTTTAAGACTTAGAGGAGTCATTCGCTTGAGGCCAATATTAACCGTTGCTCCGAGAAAGCGGTTGCCTGCCGATGTTACATTATTTACATTATTCGGACTATTGTCCTCATCTTTGTTGCCATATTTATTGCAACGTTTCGGCTGTTGTACGCTCTGGCCTTCTTCAGGTGGTTGGAATGCCGAATTGAACCTTTTATTTCTGATAACTGATATCCTTTAAACATGGCACGTGGAACTAGAACAGTCTACCTCAGTGAGTTATCTCCTGTTAATTTCCTTCTGAAAGTTCTCCACTGCCCTAACCGGGTATTGAACTCACACTCTTTGGGTTCTGTCACTGGATCTAACCAACGCCTTTATCCACTGTGCCTTGAGGAAATAAAGGGTTCAGTTCGATATTCCAATCACCTGAAGAAGGCCGGAGCGTACAACGACCGAAACGTTGTAATAAATATGGCGACAAAGATGAGGACAATAGTCCGAATAATGTAAATAATGTACATAATACCTCATCTCAGAAATATAGACAGCTGCCGATGTTAGTTTAGAGTAGACTTTACCGAACGAGTTGTACGTCATTCATCGCCGCTATATAAAACTTTTGATATGACAAGGCTATTTTAGAGCATATGTAAATAGGATCGTGTCTGTAAAATTGAAATAGGTGTTTTGTTTGGACTCACCCAGATACCGAAGTCTACCAGAATTTGTCCCTAACCCAACTCCATAATACTGTAATATTAAATGGAAATAGGGCAGGTTTCTTATCTGGCAGACTGGTGTTTAGGCGACCAATGCTTGAACCTAGCCGAACTCCATAGTATTACATGTAGATAGTCATGTACGTGAAGGTTAGGTCGGCTAATGTTTATCCAGACAGCAAAGACTCCCATTACTTGTGCTTTGCCTAACTCCATAAATGTAGTCCTGAATGTAAATTTGAGGTAAGGTGAATGCTTACTCAGGCATTGTAGTGTACCAATACTTTTTAAACTTAAATGTTATTCTCCTTTTTATATAATAATAATAATAATAATAATAATAATGGGTGCCGGACAAATTAACACTATTGACTGAATATCGGGAGAACTCAGGCCTGAGACAACTCAGTACCAGAAAAACACAACTTTTTCTTTAATAACCGAATAAAAATAATTTATTAAGGATTAAAACCTTAATTAGTGAATATTTTTCTTCAAATAGGGTATTTGAAAAGGTATTATGTAAAACATGAACCAGTTTTTTTAATTATTTTTAATAAAGTAAATCGTAAAGAAAGTTATTTTTATTATGAAGTAAATTGACATATAAAAATAATTCAATATAACACACTTGTTTTTAATTATTTTTTAATAAAGTAAATCAAAAAACGCAAAAAAAAAACATTACATTACGATTTACTTAAAAATAATTAAAAAGAAAAAAGTCTATTTTTTTGTAAACATTTTTCGATTTACTTTATATACTTTCTATAAATCGGCATTTATTTGATGCCAGTACAATCCAACGGGACAGATATTTAAACTACAACCCGTCCTCTTTGAACTACAACCCGACACTCCATGGCCCAGCAACTGTTATGATAGGGTACTTTTCTTTTTTCTTTTTTTAAATCAGCCACCATCAGTTTGTTATGCGGCTATGAGGGCAGCACCACACGTTATTTACAACTTTCCGCAGGAGTTGATTGCAGCAGAGTGTTTTGATACGGTCTTGTTCATTTCTTACATATATCTGACTATTTATTCAGGATAGTATATATATATATATATATATATATATATATATATATATATATATATATATATATATATATATGGTTTTATGCTTTTAACCTTTGTATTCACGAAACAATAAAAAACTTGTTTAGAAGCATTAATGATTGTTTTATTACTTGTTTTAAGCTTTGTTCTGCCTTTGATAATACAGTAATATATATTTGAAATGAACTGGCAATATATTTCTATAGGTTGTGCCTTTTTTTAGGCGCGATTTTTGACAATCCGCTTGATCCGTGGTCCAGCATTGACCTGATCCCAAGGCTGTCGAATTATACAGGTCGAACTGCATTTAGGAAATGTAGCCTGTAAGGATTTTTTTCTTCTTTCTCTTTCTTTTGCTTTCTTTTTGTTTCTTTCTTTTCCTTTCTCTTTTCCCTTTCCCTTTCTTTCTTTTCCTTTCCCTTTCTTTCTTTTCCCTTTCTTTCTTTTCCCTTTCTCTTTTTCCATTCCCTTTCTTTTCCATTCCCTTTCTTTTCCTTTCTCTTTTTCCATTCCCTTTCTCTCTTTTCCCTTTCTCTCTTTTCCCTTTCTCTCCTTTCTCTTTTTCTTTCTTTTCCCTTTCTCTCTCTTTTCCCTTTCTCTCTCTTTTCCCTTTCTCTTTCTTTCTTTTTTCCCTTTTCTTTCTCTTTATGTACCGTGCCATAGCTCTCCACAATTTCCTGTTTTCGTAACTCTTAATCAATTTTGCCTTTTTTTTTTTCTTATTTCTCCTAAACCTTTTTTCCGCCATCCATTTCCTCAAGACCCCTAATTAGGTTAGGCGCTTGTTCTCCCCTGTCCCCGCTTACCTTCAATCTGTCCTGTGAGCATCAAATTTTCCAACCCCTCGTTATGCGCCCTAGAAATTTCAACTGTCAAATGTTTCTTTTTTGTTTTCATTTTCTCTAAAACCTCGTCGTTGCTCGCATATTCGGTCTATGGTATCCTCAGCATCCTTCTGCAGAACTATATTTCTGTTGTTTCAAGTTTCCTCTTCATCTCTGAGGAGATTGTCCAGCATTCATTGCCTTATAGGGGGACATATATCACGTAACAGTTCAGTACTCTTTAATTGGTTTCTAACGAAACTTTTTCTCTTGACTTTTTCTCTTAATACTCTGCTCCTCTGTTGGAATGTCTCTTTGGCCATCCCAAATGCGCCTTCGGATTTCAGTGTCACAATTTTCGTAATAACGGTGGATAAGAGTTTTGTCAAATAAAGTTGAATAGATTTTTATTCCGTCTCAAAAACTGCGACATTACTTTCTGGACAACAACATCGTCGATTGACAACTGCACTGTCTGACGAAATGGCGATAAAAAAAAAAAAAGAAAAAATAGACAGACAGTATGTAACGGGGTTGGGAAAGCGGGCAAAGAAGAAACATCACTCGATGTCAACCATATGTTATGAGAAAGATTTTCCACCCATAATTGACACTTTGCAGGCATCGGGTAACATGCAACTTCTCTTTCTTTTATCTTTTTTTCTCATTTTCTTTTTCTCTTTCTTCTTTCTTTCTTTCTCTCTTATTCTCTCTTATTCTCTCTTCTTTCTCTCTTATTTTCTCTTCTTTCTTCTTTCACTCTGTCATTCTTTTTCTCTCTCTCTCTCTCTCATTCTTTTTCTCTCTCTCGCTCATTCTTTTTCTCGCTCATTCTTTTTCTCTCTCTCTCTCTCTCATTCTTTCTCTCGCTCTCTCTCTAGCTCTCTCTCTCTCTCTCATTCTTTCTTTCTTTGTAATGTTGCCTTTTGGTTTCCTCTTCATCTTTTTTTTCTTACATTTCCTTTTATCTCCGTCGAGTTTTGTTTTGTTGCATATTCCCTATTGTCACTTTCAATATTTTTCAGTTCTTTTCAATCTGTTATTCATTTTGTATTATCTCGTTCAATTTTTTTTTCTTCTTTATTATTGTATCTTTCTTATTGACATATTTTTCTGGCGTTTCATCTTCCCTTTTTCCCTACTAGTTATGATTTGATTT